ATGGCACAGACAGAGGGAGAAGCAGCTGCCCAGTACTCCAGCTCAGACTCTCTGTCCTCTAGGACGTCACAGCCAAGGGCAAACTCACCCCCGACGGACAGAGGACGGGAGGGAGGAGCTGGCACCACACGGGTGGTGTAGTCAAGGCGACTGGCGGCAGCAAACTCAGCGACAGCGGCAGTGAGAGCCGAGACAGACGACGGAGGCAAACGAGAGGTGGTGACAAGAGTGGCGAGGACACGAGAGACAACAGGACGAACAGCGCGGTAGTAGTCAGTGACAGGAGTAGGGGGGAAAGGGAGAGAGGACGGAGGAGGAGACGGGAGAACGGACTCAGGAGGAGGACGACGAAGAGACGAACAAAGGAGGGCAGTGCGGAGGTTGGTAACGGGAGGCGAGGGACGAGCACGCGGAGGACAGGGACGGACACGAGAGTGTGGGACACGAGGTGGAGGAGACTGCGGTGGAGGAGAAGACCAGACCGCCGGACTGTCGTCAGTAGGAGGAAACGTGGGACCAAAGGACGGAGTGTGAACAGGAGGAGAGGAGGGAAGACCAAGCGCCCGAAGGCCACTCATGGGTGGGAAGAACTGCCGCTCCAGAGGGAGCTGCGGTGGTCGCGGCGGCGGCGGTGGTGTCTGCTGCTGCGGCGGCGGCTGCTGCTGCTGCTGCTGCGGCGGCGGCTGCTGCTGCGGTCGCTGCTGCTGCTGCTGCTGCTGCTGGTGCTGCTGCTACTGCTGCTGCTGCTGCTGCTGCTGCTGCTGCTGCTGCTGCTGCTGCTGCTCCAGCAGGTCCAACTGCCGCAACTCCTGCCGCTCCCTCTCCAACAGCACCTGCTCCTCACGCTCACGCCGACGGGCCGCCTGGAGACGCGTGTCGTGGCGGTGGGGAGGCGGAGTGGACTCCGCAGAACCAGGGTCTCCAGCCCCAGACTCCTCAGAACCAGCACCTCCAGTGCCAGCGCCTCTAGCACCAGCACCCCCAGAACCAGCACCTCCTGTGCCAGGAACTCCAGCTCCAGCACCCCCAGAGCTAGCGCCACCTGCGCCAGCACCTCCAACTCCAGCACCCCCAGAACTAGCACCTCCAGTGCCAGCACCTCCAGCTCCAGCACCCCCAGAGCTAGCGCCACCTGCGCCAGCACCTCCAGCTCCAGCACCCCCAGAGCTAGCGCCACCCGCGCCAGCACCTCCAGCTCCAGCACCCCTCGAACGAGCACCCCCAGACCGAGGACCGCCAGCGGCTGCACCTCCAGCTCCCACACCAACCGAGTCCACAGTAACCTGACGCGGAGGTGCCGAAGGCTGCTGAGGGGACTGTGAGGAGGACTGCGGGGAGGGAGACGCGACCGGACGCGCGACCGAGGGAAGAGGGGTAGCGTGGGACACACCAGACGGGGCAGGACCAGGGGGGGGCGGGGGTACCGGAGGAGCGGGAGCAGGAGGAGGAGAGGGTGCGAGGAAAAGAGGGGGAGGGGGTACCGGGAGACCTCGACAGGGGTACCGGGTGTAGTAAGACACAGACTCGTCAAAGCGGACGTCACGGGAGTCTAGGAACTGGTGGAGGGGCGGGTGGTAAAAGGACCAGTCGGCAGAGTCCACTGGGAAACCAAGGAAGACACAGGGGACGGCGCGTGCCGAGAGCTTGTCCGCGGAGGTGTCGCGAACAAGCGCAAGGCAGCCCCAGACACGAAAGGCCGACCCAACACCAGGGGAACCGGTCCAAAGACTGGTCGGTGAAGCCTCGGGCCGTGAGACGCGCGGCTGGAGGTTCAGCTGGTGTGCGGCGTAGCGAACCCCGTAGGGCCACAGAAAATGGGGCGCACGGGCATGGATCATGGACGTGCGAGCAATGTCCATGACCAAGCCAATGCGGCGCTCAGCAACCCCATTCTGCTGTGGGGACTCCGGAAGCGTCCAGGACTGTACGATGCCCTGTTCGCCGCAGAATCCGCCAAGAATGCCGGAGTGAAACTCGCCCCCACGATCGGAGTGTAGACAACTGACTCGACGACCACAAGTGCCCTCAGTAGCCAGAAGCCACCGGATCAGCGTAGCAGTCACCTCGGACTTCTTCGCGAGAGGGAACACTGTGGTGTACCTGGAGAAGTCGTCGACGACCACCAGAAAGTAACGCTCCCTCCCAGAACCCTGCGTCGGGGCAGGGCCCCAGACGTCCAAGTGGAGGGTCTCGAAGGGAGCAGTGGCCGGACGAAGGGAGGAGGAGTGGGGAGTGGCGCGTAAGCGACCGGCGACGCAAGGAGTGCAAGGGGGAGCAGGGGAGGTGGGGAGCGATGGAAAGGTGCGTGGGAGACCGGTGACAAGCCCGTGAGTGGTCATCCCGCAGAGGCGGGGGATCGACGGGTGGCCAAGGCGGTGGTGCCACAAGACGGTCCGGTGGGTGAGGGACCGACAGGAGCAGGACGCAGTGACTGGACTAGACAGCGCGACCTGACTAGACCCTGCAACTAGACCAGACACGACTACCTGGCTAGACACAGCAACCGGACTGAACACCTGGACTGGAGGGGACGCAACGACCTGAGCGGAGGACGCAACCTGGGAGCGCGCGGTGTGGAGAACGTAGAGACCGGAGCGGGGCTCCCTGGTGAACGTGGTCAGAACAGCACCTGTGGCAGCGTCTGTACAGACCGCAGTCCTCCCACCCCCCACAAAGGTAACCGTGATCCCCCTGTCCTGGAGGTAACCAACACCCACCAAGTTCCGAGTGAACGAGGGGATGTGGAGGCCGCGCAGGACACCAGAGGGGACCACAGGACACGGGAGGGTAGTGGAGCTACGCGCAACGGCTGGTCCTGAGGTAGGATCAGCCAGAGCCACCGAAACAGGAGTGAGGAGTGGCGTGAGGGTCATGTGGTCGCGGAAGAAGCACTGAGACGCACCAGAGTCCAGCGTGAAGGACAGGGACGCTTCAGCGGGAGGGTCACCTGTCCTAGTGGCTACACAAGCACCTAGAGCAGCAACACAAGCACCTAGACTAGAAAGGCACAAGTCTACACTAGCAGGAGGCAAGCAAGCTAGTCTACGAACACGCGAACACACAGATCCATCAGCACTATAGTCAACATCAGCATACAAAGCATGCTGACAAGCATCGTCCATGGACAGATCAAACACATCAATCTTACGGGCTAACAGGCGAGCCCAGCGAGGCGTGGTCGCCGTAGGGCCCCAACGAGCACGGTAGAGGTCGTCGAGGCGGCGGAAGCACCGCGCGGCAGAGTGGTCGTCACGACCGCAGAGACAGGGGCTGCCAGGTCCGGTGAGGCACCAGTGGGTGCAGGGGCCAGTGTCACGGCGAGGGGGGCGAGGGGCCCAGCTGGAAGTGCTGCCGCTGCGGCCGGTGCTCCCTGGTCCTCCCGGACCCCACTGTGGCGGGGGACCCCAGTGCTGCTGCGGACCCACTGCAGTAGGGGCCCCCACTGCTGGAACTGCTGCGGTGCCTGCTGCTGCTGCGGTCCCTGCTGCTGCTGCTGTCCCTGCTGTGACTGGTGCTGCTGTGGCTGCTGCTGCTGGGGGCCAACACCCCCGCCGGCCGGGCCACCACCAGTGGGTGGGCCTGTCTATCCTGCACCTCCGCCAAGGCCCCCTCCTCCTGGTGCACCACCGCCGCCGCCGCCGCCGCCTCCACCACCGCCGCCGCCGCTCCCACCTCCACCTCCACCTCCGCCGCCGTTTCCACCGCCTCCACCTCCACCTCCGCCGCCGTTTCCACCGCCTCCACCTCCCCCCTTCCCGCCCTTCTTGCCACCCTTGCCCCGTTTCTGCCAGTCTGCGGCGGAAACGGCAGCAGTGTCCTCAGAAACCGACACAGCAGCAGAAGCGCAGGTAGCAGTGAAAGTGGGAAGCTGAGGGGCGGCACACCCCGCAAAGAGACGGGGGGCTACTGCGTCAGTGGCAGAGGCAACGGTGAGGAGACTACTTTCGATCGTCCCGAGAGCGGTCTCAAGGAGATCGATGGTGAGCTCAGTGCGGTGCTTCTGGAGAAGCGAGTCGCGAGCAGTGGCAAGGCGGTCAGGGAGGCGGGTGACTAACCAGTGCACAGTGAGCCACATGGGGGGGGGAGCAGCAAAAAGCTGGGCGTCGGTACAGGCTGCACGGAAACCGGCGTCAAGTGAGCGGAGGTGAGTCACTAGGTCGGACACAGTCGCAAACGGGCCTAGGTCGGGAAACACGAACGGCATGAGGAGGCGACTGAGGGAGGCAGAGGAAGGGGTGGAATAGTGGGCAACAATAGCATCCCAAACCCCCTGTGCTGTCTCCACCTTGTCAAAGTGGGCGGCCTCAGTCGGGGGGAGAAGCTCCGACAGCGTGAGAGCGGCGGCAGCGTCACGAGAGAGCCACACGTCCCGTGCCAGGACCCGACGCTCGTAGTCCGCCTAGGCCGTAGGAGTCGGCTCCGAGGCGGTCGGGAGGGCGGCGGGGGACGGGGGGGCCTTGAGGGCACCAGACGCATGGGCCCACAGAGTGGCGCCGTCCTGACGCTGGCTGGTAAGGAAACGCGTGGTCTGGCGCTGCCAGGTACCGAACTCTATCGGGCGTCCCTCCGCATCGAAACGAAGGCGACGGGACTCCATAACGGAGGCCATGCTAGAGGCGGCCGGAGATCGGCGGAGGCGGAGCTAAGAACGAGGAGGGAAGCCTAGGAGCGCCAGGTGTGGCGCGGTGTGAGACCGGCGGAGCTAGAGGCTAGGAGCACGGAGGGACCTAGTCTAGGCGAGAAACGGCGGAACTCCAGCTACATGCACTAGGGGCGAGGAACTAGCAGGAACACGGGTCTACCCTAGGTGGTCGGCGAAAGAAAGCGGCTGCCAGTCGCTGAGGGCGAGACCAGTGGCAAAAGAGTTGTCTAGGGCCCCGCGCGCAGGGCGGTAGTGAGGTTCGGGCGCGTGCCAATCGCGGGTGGGAACGGGCTAACGCGGAGGCGCGAGCCTAGGTGAGGGCGAGGGCACGGTGGGCCCGGGGGGAGGGCGCACGACGTTAGGAGAGGGCGGGGAGGAGGGTGCGTGACGGTAGGAAGGGGTGGGGAGGAGGGCGCGACGGTGAGAAGGGGCGGGGAGGAGGGCGCGACGGTAGGACAGGGGCGGGGATGGGAGGGCGACGCGACGGGCAGGGGAAAGGGAGGCGACGCGACAGGCAGGGGAGGGGGAGGCGAACGCGACGGGCAGGAGGAGGGGAGGTGACGCGACGGGCAGGGGAAGGGGAGGCGAACGCGACGGGCAGGAGGAGGGGAGGCGTTGCGACGGGCAGGGGGAAGGGAGGCGACGCGACGGGCAGGGGAAGGGGAGGCGAACGCGACGGGCAGGAGGAGGGGAGGCGACGCGACGGGCAGGGGGAAGGGAGGCGACGCGACGGGCAGGGGAAGGGGAGGCGAACGCGACGGGCAGGAGGAGGGGAGGCGATGCGGCGGGCAGGGGGAGAGGAGGCGACGCGACGGGCAGGGGAAGGGGAGGGGGGGGGCGACGCGACGGGCAGGGGGAGGGCGCGACAGTGGGAGGGGCCGGGCTAGGCGTGCGTTGAGGGCGCGGAGGGCGCGGAGGGCACTAACGTGCGGAGGGCGCGGAGGGCACGAACGTGCGGAGGGCGCGGAGGGCACGGAGGGCACGAACGTGCGGAGGGCGCGGAGGGCACGGAGGGCGCTAAGGCGCGGAGGGCGCTAAGACGCAGAGGGCGCGTGGGCGCGGAGGGCGCTAGGGCTAGGCTAGGGCTAGGCTAGGGCTAAGGAACTCGAACCTACTATGATACCATCTCAAGAGTAGAATGCAACGGAATGGTGAGTTTAGGAAACAAGGCAATACAAATAGGCAACCCTAACTGTGTTATACTCTCTAAGGAGCAACTCACTACAGCCTATCACAAATATCAACATTTGACAGTTTGTGTTATCTCTAGGCTATAGTGGGTTAGCCTACAAGGGGTACAACACTTTAGGGTTAGGTACTTGTACTCATGCATGCTACCTAGTCCACCATTCATTCCTGCTTATTCTAACATGGTATTAGAGAAGAATCGTTCCTAGGGCCCACCGAACGTTCCGCCCTGCCCTAACGGTAATTTTTTCTTCCTACGCTGCCCCTGCAGCCGCGCAGCCCTTGCAGCCCGCGTGCTGCCCCTGCGACCGCGCTGCCCCTGCAGCCGTACTCGCCCCTGCGACCGTGCTGCCCCTGCAGCCGTGCCTGCCCCTGCGACCGTGCTGCCCCTGCAGCCGTGCCTGCCCCTGCGACCGTGCTGCCCCTGCAGCCGTGCCTGCCCCTGTGGCCCGCGTGCTGCCCCTGCAGCCCGCGCGTTCGCCCCTGCAGCCCGTGGGCGCTGCCTCTGCAGCCCACGCGCCGCCCTGCCGAGCCGCGCGTCGCCGCTGCAGCCCGTGGGAGCTGCCCCTGCAGCCCGTGCGCCGCCATGTCGAGCCGCGCGTTGCCCCTGCAGCCCATGGGCGCTGCCCCTGCAGCCCGTACGCCGCCCTGCAGAGCCGCGCGTCGCCCCTGCAACCCGTACGCCACCCTGCAGAGCCGCGCGTCGCCCCTGCAGCCGTGGGCGCTGCCCCTGCAGCCCGCGCGCCGCCCTGCCGAGCCGCGCGTTGCCCCTGCAGCCCGTGGGCGCTGCCCCTGCAGCCCGTACGCTGCCCTGCAGAGCCGCGCGTCGCCCCTGCAGCCCGTACGCCGCTCTGCGGAGCCGCACGTCGCCCCTACAGCCCGTGGGCGCTGCCCCTGCAGCCCGCGCGCCGCCCTGCTGAGCCGAACGTCGCCCCTGCAGCCTGGGCGCCGCCCTGCCGAGCCGCGCGCCGCCCCTACAGCCCGCGCGCCGCCCTGCTGAGCTGCGCGTTGCCCCTGTAGCCCGTGGGCGCTGCCCCTGCAGCCCGCGCGCCGCCCTGCCAAGCCGCGTGTCGCCCCTGCAGCCCGTGGGCCGCGCGCAACCCTAAACCCTAAAAAAAAACAATATATATATGTATATATATATTATAATAATACTACTGCTGCTGCTGGTGCTGGAGGTGCTGGAGGTATTACTGGAGGTACTAGAGGTACTGCTGGTGCTGGGGGTGCTGCTGGTGCTGGGGGTACTGGAGCTGCTGCTGGTGCTGGAGGTGCTGGAGGTGCTGACCCTGGAGGTGCTGGTGCTGGAGGTACTGGAGGTGCTGGAGCTACTGGTCCCGGAGGTGCTCGTACTGGAGGTGCTGGAGCTGCCGGAGCAGGTGGTGCTGCTGGTGCTGGAGGTGCTGGAGGTGCTACTGGAGCTGCTGGCACGGGAGGTACTGGAGGTACTACTGGTGCTGGAGGCGCTGGAGCTGGAGCTGGAGGCACTGGAGGTGCTGGAGGTACTACTGGTGCTCGAGGTGCTGGCGCTGTCGGAGCTCGTGGTGCTGGAGGTGCTGGTGCTACTGGTGCTGGAGGTGTTGCTGGGGGTACTGGAAGAGCTGCTCGTGCTGGAGGTACGGGAGCTACTGGTGCTCTTCGCCACCTTCTCGGTCTTCCGCCAGGTGCTACTGGCTTCCCTGTGGCAGGTACTACTCCTCCGTTGCTGTGTCCGCCAGTGGACCAGTCACAGCCACCGCTGCTACCACACTCCCCACTACCTGCTCCTGCTCCTTACACTGCGGTGTCAGAGTCCCTGACTGAGCGTCGAGAGCCTGAGACTCGTGCTTCCACCCCTGAGCGTCGAGAGCCTGAGTCTAGCTTTGACCTTGAGCCTGAGCCTAGAGCTGCTGTCCGTGCTCGTGTTCCTCGTGTTCGTCGTCCGCGTGCTCCGGCTGTCCCCGGCACTCACGATATGACACTCCGTCCTTCCTCTGTTCCTCAGCGTGTTGTACTACCGTTACCTCCTGCGTCCTCTCTGCCTGACGTTGCTGGCCCTCCGTCTGACCTTGCTCGTGCGTCCAGTCCGACTGTTACTCGCCTTCTTGCTACGGTTGTGACGAACCCTACGTTCTCGTCACCTGCTGCGTCTGCCCTAGTAGCTGAGCTCGTTGACTTTGCTGCTGTGTACCGCCTAGACTACCTTGCGAGTCTTGTCTCTGACCCTGTCCCTGCCTGTCCTCCTTCCGTCGGGGGTGAGACTGCTCTTGGCTGTACTGCCCTTGGCTGTGACGTTCTTGAGGACAGACAGGAGGAGCTGGAGTGCCTTGCTGCCGCTTCACCCCATCACGCGACCATGCTGCTTGCCCCTGAGGGAGACCCGGATGCACTTGACATCCCCACCCCGCGCTCCTACAGGGAGGCGATTTCGGGTGAGTACTCCTCTCAGTGGCAGACAGCCATGGACGCAGAGATGGCTTCCTGGAAGTCCACAGGCACCTACGTCGACAAGGTTCCCCCACCTGGGGAGAACATCGTCAGTGGCATGTGGATTTTCAGGGTGAAGCAGCCGCCGGGTTCTCTCGCCTGCCTTCAAGGCACGTTACGTTGCTCGAGGCTTCAGTCAGCGTGAGGGGGTCGACTTCTTTCAGACCTTCTCCCCCACCCCGAAGATGACCACTCTTCGGGTGTTGCTACACGTTGCAGCTCAGCGTGACTACGAGCTGCACTCTCTTGACTTCTCGACAGCTTTCTTGCAGGGTAGCCTTCACGAGGCCATCTGGTTGCGACGTCCACAGGGCTTCACTGGGTCGTTTCCTGAGGGTACCCAGTGGAGCCTACGGCGACCAGTGTACGGCCTGCGTCAGGCGCCCCGCGAGTGGCACGACACACTGAGGACGACGCTTGCGGCTCTTGGGTTTGCTCCTTCGACTGCTGACCCGTCGCTGTTTCTACGCGCCGACACTACTCTGCCGCCGTTCTACATCCTCGTGTACGTCGACGACTTGGTTTTTGCTACTGCTGACACTGAGGCACTGGCCCTAGTGAAGGCGGAGCTGCAGGAGAGACACACCTGCACTGACCTGGGTGAGCTGCGGAGCTATCTTGGCTTGTAGATCACCCGGGACAGACCACGGCGCACCATCACCCTCACTCAGTCACACATGGTGCACCAGATCCTTCAGCGCTTCCGCTTCACGTACTCCTCGCCACAGCCCACTCCTCTGGCTACCGGCCACTCGCTCTCAGCTCCACCTTCGGACGAGTCCGTAGAGCCGAGTGGTCCGTACCCAGAGCTTGTGGGTTGCCTCATGTACCTGATGACGTGCACACGACCTGACCTCGCGTACCCTCTCAGCCTTCTGGCTCGCTACGTGGCACCCGGTAGACACCGAAAGGTGTACTTTGATGCTGCGAAGAGGGTACTGCGTTACTTGTGCAGCACATCGGGCATGGGGCTTGTGCTTGGAGGACGGGGTTCGGTGGTCCTCACAGGACACTCTGACGCTTCTTGGGCCGACGACCAGGCGACTCAGCGTTCGTCACAGGGTTACACCTTTAGTCTTGGCTCTGGTTCTGTCTCGTGGAGGTCCACTCGTTCTTCTTCTGTGCTTGGTTCCAGCTGTGAGGCCGAGATCTACGCTGGGGCCATGGCTGCACAGGAGCTACGCTGGCTGACCTACCTGCTGACCGACTTGGGGGAGCGGCCTCGTTCTCCTCCAGTTCTGTACGTCGACAACAAGGCAATGCTTGCCTTGTGTCGCGAGCAGAGATTGGAGCACAGAACGAAGCACATTGCTCTTCGCTACTTCCTTGCGCGTGAGTTGCAGCAGCGTGGTCAGCTGCGCCTTGCTTACATGGCCTCTCGGGCCAACACTGCTGATGTTTTCACCAAGGCCCTTGGGTCTGGTGATCATCAGCGTTTTTGCACTGCTCTTGGGCTTGTGCCCACTCTGCCTCACCTGCTGGTTGCTTGACTTGCTCTTGTTGTACACTACTATATATCTTTACACATGCTTGTTTACTCTTGCTAGGTTGTGATCAGTGTACTGCCTTGCTATTATACCTCTGCATGTGAACTGGCCTTGTGGCCGCTTGCTTGTGCTCAGATTGTGTGGTGTCCTTGAGATCCACCCTGAGCTTTGCTTTGCTTTGCTTGTTCTCTTGCTTGACTGGTCTTGTGACCGTCTGTTGTGTTTGCTATCTCCCATTTAGCCTATGGGGGTGTGTCAAACTGTATGTTTGTGTTATCTCTAAGCTATAGTGGGTTAGCCTACAAGGGGTACAACACTTTAGGGTTAGGTACTTGTACTCATGCATGCTACCTAGTCCACCATTCATTCCTGCTTATTCTAACACATTATTTAGGGGGGGTCTTTTATCCGGGGGATTACGGTATTGAAATGGCACATGTGTCTGATTACTAATCTTGATGGCAAGACACTTGGGTTGGCGAGGGTTTTCTAGCACTGGTGTCTTTGTTTGCGCTTGTGTTTGTGCTGAAGTCCCAAGTTGCAGCACAAGGTTCTTCAAGTTGAGTATCGGGACTGGGTTGGACTTGTAGAAGGTGTCGCTGGGCAACACCTAGGTCATCAAGACTAGTAATCTTAATGCCCGCGGCCTGCAACTTGGGGACTCGGGCTTTAAAACAGCATATACAGGTGGCTGTGCCGGCTTACTATACTTAGAAACGGGTCTAAATTTGCCTCTTACATTGATATATTTCCGATGGTATCCAGTACTTTCTGACAGGTACATATTCTACATGTTTTTGTTGCGGTAACTTAGAGCGTATTCCTATCCTCCTATCAAGAGAACCTCATATCAAGATTGTACCTTTTGCCTGGTAAAACTAGCGAGAGGTTTTGGGTTTAGGGGAATTTTCAGTGGGAGGTTGATATGAGGTTATCTTGATACGAGGATAGGAATACGCTCTTAGGGCACTCGAACCAGACAGTTTTTAAGAGGCACGGAATATTTAATACCTATGAAGTGTAAGTTCTATTGTCGAAATATTGTACATTTAGTTGTCTAGCAAGTTGACAGTTGAATGGAGCACGATTATTGGTGGCATGTCTACCTGCTCTCCACGTCGAAGATTCGGCGGGAGAAAAAACGAACGGTGCAGATCTTTGTTCAGCTACGCCGTCAGCTTGCCCAACCGAAGTCCGTTTTCCACGGAAGACCGTGGTGCAGGTCCCTTGGTTGTTTTTCCGTGTTTGTGGGTCGGGCGAGGAGATCTTGAAACAAGTTGTCTAGGGTTTCAAATTGTTGTTTCTTTTCGGTTGACGCTGCCGCTGTTGCTGCAGAGCGACATTCCCCTCACCTTCTGACTAGTTTCTACGCCTCCGTTAGCTAGATCTAAAGTCAGGTATTTCGGGTTTGTCGCCTGCAGCGAGCAGCTTGGCGGCTCTCCTCCGCCATTCTACCAGCAGCTCCAGCCGCATAATGCAAACATCTCCAAACTGTGATAGCTGGCAATTTTCGAGGAAGCATATAGAAGATCAGTCTCCATCTAGAAAGGACGGATTGTCGTTGAGACGAGAAAATTCGCATCGTCGCTTGGCTCTCGCCTTCACACAAGATGTTGGCTGTTTGCTTAAGATGTAAGGACCGGCATATGTTACTCGCGAGCTTTCATATCTGCATCTTGTAAGGGACTTACATGTACCTTATCGTAATATGCAGGGACCAGTACACAATCGCTACAGCCTTCGTCTATTGGAAACGGTTTTTCATTATTCAGTCCTTGTCCAAGAACGATCCATACGTATGTACAGGTTCTTAATTGCAGAGCGATTTTCCTGTGTTTTTTTTTTTCCGTTCGATTGCCAGCGAGGCTGTTGTTGACGAATAATTTTATGTTCTTATCCAGCTTTTCGCATCCGCATGCCTTCTTCTCGCTGGGAAAGTCGAAGAGAACTTCAAGAGTTTGCAGAAGATAACGGAGATGTCATTTTATGTCCGCAACAAGAAGGATCCGAAGGCCTTGGAGTCAATTAAGAGCACCCCCGTAAGCTTGATGATTTCGTTTCTGTTATTTGTTTGTTGTTTCCCAGGCGGTGGTGCATCATGTGTCAACCTTTGTGTGTTTCAGAAGCTCTTATTGGCGGAGATGGACAGGGTGGTTAAAGCGGAAGAAGCCCTTCTAGTCACCATGAACTTCGATTTTTTCGTCAGTCATCCGTACAAGCCGATCTGCTCTGTGGTGAAGGAGTTTGGTTTCACAAACCGGCAATCTGAAAGGGACCGGACTTTCTTTCAGATCGCGTGGAACTTCGCCAATGACAGGTCTGCTCCTTATCTTTTGAGGGTGGATTTAATAGGTTCCTTGTGCGTGCTCAGTGTAATTCCTACCTGAGTGTCACAAGACCAATCCGTGTCTTTACTTCCCTCGTGGTTCGCTTTCCACGTCCCACGCTGTCTGATGGCATTCAGTTTGCGGACGACGCTCTGCCTTCAGCCGTTTCGGCCGATGGACATTGCAGCAGCTTGCGTCAATCTTTCAGCGAGTGCCTTGAGTGTCCAGCTTCCGAAAGCTGCTGAAGGAGGACACTGGTGGACTAAGTACGGCGTCTCTCCAGAGACTCTTCAAGGTCAGTAGCCCAATCATGTCACCGGATCATTAAGCCTTGCTGCCAGACAACCATTGTGCTGACGTACGATTGCGCAGACGTCGAGCTGCAGATCATGTCTTTGTACAAGAGGAAGGAGGGCGATAGCCAAACACCAACATCTTGCCTTTCTCTTCCAGCCACTCCATCGATTAACGCGCCTCCTTCGAAGAAGCAAAGGACCGATACCCCGAGTCCCACTAGTGCCGTTGTGTCGTCACACATGTGCCAGTCTGATGCGAAGGTTAGTCAGCAGGACGAGCCAAAGCAGCATGATGCGAGGCAGCTTGAGATAAAGTCGAATCACCAGACCCATGGAGAGCGTGAGAGTAAGCCTCAGCCTTTGGGCACTAAGTTTGTGGGGAAGGCTGGCGGACAAGAGAAGCAGGATGCACCAGTCAGCAGCAAGCCGCCTGTGCTTGTTTCGTGTGGATCTGCCGCAGCTACAAAAGCGTCTCAGCACACCCCCCCAGGGAAGGTTGATTCAGGAGGTTCTGTTATGGAACTTTCGGAGGAGTTGATATGCAGGCTGGAGGATGTGGAAGTGCACAGGCCAAAGCGTACAGCAGCAAACGCTTTTGTTGCTTAGATTGGTTTATTTGTTGGGAAGTCTGATTGTTCCTGTCCTATTTTTGGTTATTAATATTAATCAAAGATGTCCAAAGTGTAATCTCCCGGTTAGAAGCCCCGGGGGTCTTATCCTAAATGTGCTTGAAATGGGTTGTGGGGTCTTATGTAATGGCATATAGTGCATAAGACCCCTGGACATCTATTAATTACTAAAAAATGGATTGTGTAGTGCAGTGTTGAATAAATTCGAAAATTTCTGTACTGAATTTTGGATTCCTTCACAGCGCGGAAATTCATTCTCAGATTCTCGCACTCGAGTCTCCCTGATTCCTTTCCGCACGTTCAGAAATGCCGAACAATGACAGGCACGTCAGCATTTCTTGCTTGAAGGGTGTCAAATGTTTATATATTCTATATATTGTTAGATAGGCTACAGTGAGTTGCCCTCTAAAGGGTACAACACTTTAGGTCGACATTTGTATCTCCTTGTCTCTCCTTACTCAAACATTACTCTCGACACTTGTCTCCTAGCCTATCTTAAGATGGTATTAGAGTAGGTTTTTTACTCCCTCCCACGCTTCCGCTCCCTCCCTTAGCCGGTCCCGAGGCGCCCGTCCCTTAGGCCCCGTTTCGTCGCGGGTAGGACGGCCCCCGCGGGCCTCGTTTTCGTCGCGTTTAAGGGCCCCTGCGGGCCTCGTTTTCGTCGCGTTTAAGGGCCCCCGCGGGCCTCGTTTTTCGTCGCGTTTACAGGGCCCCGCTGGCCCCTCGTTTCGTCGCGCTCCAGAAGGGACTCTCCCCCCCCCCCCGCGGGCCCGCGTAGTCGTTCTTAGCCCGCAGCAGCGCGCGCGTTAGCCAGCGGCAGCCGCGCACGCCACTGCAGCACGCGCATTGCAGCAGCAGCGCGTGCTTTGCTGCAGCAGCACGGCTAGGCAGCAGCGCGTGCATTGCAGCAGCAGCACGGCTAGGCAGCAGCGCGTGCATTGCAGCAGCAGCACGGCTAGGCAGCAGCGTGTGCATTGCAGCAGCAGCACGGCTAGGCAGCAGCGCGTGCTCCTGCAGCAGCAGCACGGCTAGGCAGATGCTAGCCGCCAGCAGCAGCTAGCCACCGGAACCTAGCCGCCAGCAGCTGGCGCCAGCTAGCCCCTCCCACCCGCCCACAGCCCCTTTCAACCGCTCACAGCCCCTTCCAACCGCTCACAGCCCCTTCCAACCGCTCACAGCCCCTTCCAACCGCTCACAGCCCCTTCCAACCGCTCAGAGCCCCTTCCAAACGCTCACATCCCTTTATCACGCGCGCACACCACCCAGGACCACCCGACCTCCGTTGGTTCGACACTCGCGTCACTCATACTCACAGTGTTTCGCACCGTCGCGGCTGGAGGCCGCTCCGCTTAGCTGTTTAGGCTAGTCCTGACGTTCGTTGTTAGCTAGGTCTCTCCTCGCTCCGCCAGCCCCTCGAACGACCCTCTGGCTCCTCGATCGGCTCGTCAGCCCTGCCTCCTCCAGCCGTGTGCTCCTAGCTCAGCTAACTCCCAGCTCCGTTCGTTACTAGACTGGCGTTCCTAGCTCAGTTTTCCTCCGTGCTCCAGCAGTACCTCGCCTAGTCCCACCTGGCGCTCCTCGCTCCTAGCTCCGTTTGCTCCGTGCTCCAGCTGTTCCTAGCCTAGCGTCCAATATGGACTCCTCCCGCCGCCTTCGTTTCGATGCAGATAGAGTTCGGCACCTGGCTCCGCCAGACTCAGCGCTATCTCACCAGTCAGCGCCAGGACGGCGCCACCCTGTACGCCCACGCGTCCGGCGCCCTCCAGGCACCACCGCGTCCCGAGCCCCTCCCTGCCGTGCCGCCCCGACTCCGGAGGCACAGGCGGACTACGCTCGTCTCGTCTTGGCGCGGGACGTTTGGGACTCCCGTGACGCTGCGGCTGCACTCGCGCTGACCGAGCTCCTTCCACCAACTGAGGCCGCTCACTTCGACCTGGTAGAGACTGCGAAGGAGGTGTATGATGCTATTTCTGCACGCTATTCCACCCCTTCCTCTGCCTCCCTCAGCCGCATCCTCATGCCGTTCGTGTTTCCCGACCTCGGCTCTTTTGCGACTGTCTCTGACCTAGCCACACACTTGCGCTCCCTTGTCGCTAGCTACCGAGCAGCTTGCACTGAGGCTCAGCTTCTTGTTGCTCCTCCTCCTATTTGGCTCACAGTCCACTGGGTAGTCACTCGTCTCCCTGACCGCCTCTCCACTGCCCGTGACGCACTTCTCCAGCATCACCCCAGTGAGCTTACGATTGATCTTCTCGAGACCACTCTCGGGAAGATCGAGAGTAACCTCCTCTCTGTTGCCTCAGCCACTGACGCAGTTGCCCCTCGTTTGTTTGAGGGGTGTGCTGTCCCCCAGCTTCCTACCTTCACTGCTACACGTGCCTCTGCTGCTGTGTCGGTTTCTGAGGACACTGCAGCTGTTTCTGCCGCTGACAGGCAGAAACGGGGCAAGGGGGGCAAGAAAGGGGGGAAGGGGGGTGGCGGCGGTGGAGGAGGTGGCGGTGGTGGAGGCGGCCCTGGGGGCGGCAGTGGTGGCGGTGTTGCCCCAGGCGGAGGGAGCTCTGGAGGAGGTGCTGACCCACCTGCTGGAGGAGGTTCGACCAGCGGTGGTGCGGGGCCCCAGCAGCAGCAGCCACAGCAGCAGCAGCCACAGCAGAGACAGCAGCTGCACCAGGGACAGCAGCAGTGGCAGGCACCACAGCAGTTTCAGACGTGGGGACCCCCACTGCAGTGGGGTCCGCAGCAGCACTGGGGCCCTCCGCCACAGTGGGGACCTGGAGGACCCGGGAGCACTGGCCGCAGCAGCAGCACTACCAGCTGGGCCCCTCGCCCCCCGCGGCGCGACACCGGCCCCTGCGACCACTGGTGCGTCACCGGACCTGGCAGTCCCTGTGTCTGCGGCCGCGATGACCACTCTGCAGCGCGGTGCTTCCGCCGCCTCGACGACCTCTACCGTGCACGCTGGGGTCCTGAGGCGACCACCCCGCGCTGGGCTCACCTGCTAGCCCGTAAGATTCCTGTATTTGAACTGTCTATGGACGATGCTCGTCAGTATGCTTTGTATGCTGATGTTGACTATAGTGCTGATGGATTTGTGTGCTCGCGTGTTCGTAGTCTAGGATGCTTGCCTCCTGTTAGTGTAGACCTGTGCCTCTCTAGTCTAGGTGCTTGTGTTTCTGCTCTAGGTGCTTGTGTAGCCTCCGGACCTGACACGCCTCCGGCTGAGGCGTCTCTGTCGTTCACGCTGGACTCTGGCGCGTCGCAGTGTTTCTTCCGCGACCACACGACCCTCACACCACTTCTTGCTCCGGTTCCGGTAGCTTTGGCTGATCCTTCTTCAGGACCAGCCGTTGCGCGCAGCTCCACCACCCTCCCGTGCCCTGTGGTCCCCTCTGGTGTCTTGCGCGGCCTCCACATCCCCTCGTTCACTCGGAACTTGGTGGGTGTTGGATACCTCCAGGACAGGGGGGTCACCGTTACCTTTGTGGGGGGGGGGGCGGACTGCAGTCTGTACTGACGCTACCACAGGTGCTGTTCTGGCCACGTTCACCAGGGAGCCCCGCTCCGGTCTCTACGTTCTCCACACCGAGCGCTCCCCGGTCGCGTCCTCCCCTCAGGTTGTTGCGTCCCCTCCGGCTCAGGTCCCCAGTCCAGTTGCTGTGTCTAGCCAGGTAGACGTGTCCAGTCCGGTCGCTGTGTCCAGTCCAGTCGCTGCGTCTTGCTCCTGTCGCTCTCTCGCCCACCGCACCGTCCTGTGGCACCACCGTCTTGGCCACCCGTCGATCCCTCGCCTTCGTGGCATGCTCAGTCAGGGACTAGTCACAGGTCTCCCACGCACCTTCCTGTCGCTCCCTCTCTCGCTTGCCCCTCCTTGCTCTCCGTGCGTCGCCGGTCGCTTACGCGCCACTCCCCACTCCTCCTCCCTTCGTCCGGCCACCGCTCCCTTCGAGACTCTCCACTTGGACGTCTGGGGCCCTGCCCCGACGCAGGGGTCTGGGAGGGAGCGTTACTTTCTGGTGGTCGTCGACGACTTCTCCAGGTACACCACAGTGTTCCCTCTTGCGAAGAAGTCCGAGGTGACTGCTACGCTGATCAGGTGGCTTCTAGCCACTGAGGGCACTCGTGGTCGTCGAGTCAGTTGTCTTCACTCCGACCGTGGGGGCGAGTTTCGCTCCGGCATTCTCGGCGGATTCTGCGGCGAACAGGGCATCACCCAGTCCTGGACGCTGCCAGAGTCCCCACAGCAGAATGGGGTTGCTGAGCGCCGCATAGGCTTGGTCATGGACATCGCCCGCACGTCCATGATTCATGCCCGTGCGCCCCATTTTCTGTGGCCCCACGCGGTTCGCTACGCCGCACACCAGCTGAACCTCCAGCCGCG